AAAAAAAAAAAAATCGACTTACCTTCGTGGCTGACCTTTCCTTCTGCACTGACACATCCCAGCGATCCATTTTAACAAAAGAAACCTTACGCAGACGTACCGAACTGAGTAACAGACAGACGAATTGTATTGATTTGTGAAAAATGATGATATCGACCGTTTCGGGACATATCAGGTTTCCGATACGCTTCATATAGAAACCCAAATTCAATTCAACTCATCCGTGAGTGTATACTATGCATGCTCTGCACTGGATTTGCACGTCGAAAATATTGCATTCCTGTTCAATCACAAATGCTGCGGCGCTAAGCGTGTTTACCCACACATTCCGTCCACTACTGGATTTTTTTTTTTCCGGCGACTGACAGCTCAGCCGGTGGTCCTGTCATTCTGTCCTTTTCCTGATTGCGTTCCTGCGACTCGGCACGTCACCAAAGTGCTGACACGGGCGCCTGGAGACTTGTTTCCCTTTTTAACCCCCCCCCCCTCCTTCCCACACCCGCGTTTCATCGGTTCTGTTTATACCTGCAGCCACTCACGGAAGATTTGCCATGTACATCACGTTCCCCGGCGCATAATGTCGCCGTCTGCTTCTGTCAACGTTTACTCCGTCACTCGGCCTCGGCCAAATGACATGTAAGGGTTTGTTTACTCGCGGTCCGAATCTGAGTTGTTGCCACCCCGAAGTCGAGGTCAACAGAAAGGCGTGAGTAAATGTGAAATCGGGAAGGGTTTGCCTCGTCAGCAGGCTGTCAGACAGCTTTGCCTCACGCTTATCCTCCATTTCTGGGACCACCATCAGCCCTCTGACAGTGTCCCATGGCAATTCCCTCATTCGTTTGGATGTACTGTACATCTAAAGCAGTTTTGATCAAAAAGTACCAAAACGGTATTGTATTGACTTAAAAGTGAAATACGACTAAACCGCGCTTTCATTTGGCGCGCCACCCAAACGTCATTTGCACAATAAACTCTTTGTTCCCGCTCGCGTCGAATAAACGGCAAATGACAATCGATGTGCTGCATCAGTGCTTTTGTTCCTACCTGACAAAGAACGCAAGGTTGTTGCTTTTGCCGTCTCTTGTCAGCGAACACGTTGAGTATGATGTATTGTTCTCATCGAGAAACTACTTTATTTTGGGGGGTGGAGGCCAACGCTCGTTCCCAAACTGGCAGCTTTATTGACATTTTGAAAATGAACAATTAGGGTGCTTGTGTTTGTTTTTTGGGGGGAATTTTGCGTCGACAGACTTGCAAACCTCACCAAAAGAAATTTGAGAGTCGCGCATCCGGCTCACATTGGATTTGGAGCCCGAGGAGCTGCAGTATATTGTATATAATTTACCGCTAAATGCCTAACACACAATGTTCGGTATACAAAAATAATCACCTCAGTTTTATTTTGGTTTAATTTAAGGAAATTTTGGCTCATCCAGCTATTTGTTTTCGACAGTGACACACCTTAATTGAACTCGTGTCATTTGGAGACACCGATAAATAAAATGGTGTATCATCTGCATAATGGTAACCAACATTTACATCTAGAGGCTGAACAAAAGGGGGCCGAAGATTGACCCTAGAGGTACCCCACATGTCAAGGCACCGTTTCTCATCCAATGTCAATGCGGATATTCTGCAGCTCCCCCTAATGAGCACAACCGCGATAGAAAGTAGATATACGGAGGGTTATATAGCGCAGCTTTTCCTTCCCCCATTACTTTTTACTGCACCATGTCAATCCCCAACCTCAGCCGGTCTCACGCGGCTAATCCATCGCTGGTGGGGAGGCAGATTTTTGTCTTTTCATGCTCACTGCAGGGTGCCATCATTTTCAACACATCCCGCTCCTTTTACACTCCTTCCCAAGAGACTACTTACGCAATTATTGTCAGCTGCGGGTCTTCTTCAATTGCTATACATTTACCCAAAACGCCGCAGCCCAACAGCCTGCCCAGCTGCTCTGTAGATTGCTTCCCTTAACTGGTCTAACACATTGCTTTTCATTCATCAAGCATGTCGTCTCGCTCACTTCAAATGAAATGTACATAAAAATGTAATACATTTAAATAAATGAATAAATAAATGTTTAAAAAAACTGTTCTTCAAGATCAACTTCGAGCTCTGACTCCTTTGGTGAATCAACAGCAATAAAAAAAAATAAACAGTGCAGACTTCTAGGTCTGCTTTTGTAATCTCCCGCTTCCTCTCTCTGCGTTTTTTCTTTTTCGAACATTGATGTCAGCTGAGAAGTCATGTACACCCCCCCACCCCCCCGGTCGTCGCTGGAGTGCGGGGGTACATAAAGTGCACCGAGGCTGCCGGGTCATGAACATGGTGTCGCACACCAGCGGAGGCGTGTCTTCTCCTGTTCTTCATTTATGCTCTCGGGGCAAATGTTTTGACCTTTTTCAGCCTTTCCTCCGACAAACAACATCGCCCCCCGACCCTCTCGCCCCCCTGCTCTCACACACACACACACAACGCTCCGAGCGCTTGGGTTTTTTTTTTTTTCCGCTTCTTGGACGTTGCCTTCGTAGTTCGAGCCCTGTCATTACCCCACCCCACCCCACCGCAGTGCACACGCTGCTGCCCTTGTTCTTTTTTGCCCTCGCGGTGTCATCGTTGCAATATGGACTACATTTATAAATGTGCTGCTGGAATGAATATTTAAGGAGTAAGATGACATCCCCTGACCTCAATCTATGAGCAATTTCCCTCCCCAAACCATGTACGGAATGTGTGCCAGGGATGGGATGTCAAATGAAGGTTCCGAAAACAGCATGAACACGTTATTTTCCTACGAGCTGCAAATTTGAAGAAACAATGTTGCTAATTTGGTTGTTATTTTTTTCCAATAATATAAAGTGAACATTGCCATACCGCGAAGAACAAAAACCCGATAGTAAACGATTTTCGTTCTACGGGATGCGGGCAAAGTACTGCTTTTATTAGACAAGGCTATGGACCGCCCACGTTTTTCCTACGAGCTGCAAATTTGAAGAAACAATGTTACTAATTTGGTTGTTATTTTTTTCCAATAATGTATAGTGAACCTGCCATTCCGTGAAGAACAAAAACCCGATAGTAAACGATTTTCATTATACGGGATGCGGGCAAAGTACTGGTTTTATTGGACAAGGCTATGGACCGCCCACGGGAAGCTTGTTTCTACCTTCACAAGGTATCAAGTTCCTCATATGAGAAGGTTTTGCTACTGCTGTTTTGGTTAGCAAAAGAGTTGACAATGGAGTTTATTTAGTAACTTCCCCGGACGTGATATTTTTACAGTTACCAAAAAGTTAGTTGGCCGTGGCTTCTTGCCCAGTTTAAGCCGATTCACGGCTTGATTTTCAAAACTCCGAGCTCCTAATCCCGGAGATTTCTCGTCCTCGGGAACGTCCGCCTCAAAGGCGGCTCAAGCGTATTTCCCGTCTCGATTTGTTCAGCGGTAGATAATCTTCGATCGAGCGTTCCTCTTCATTGAAAAACGTACCTGCTTTTCGGTGTCGCGTGACTTGACGGCGGGCGGGACGATGAGAAATGACCACACTTTCTGCCACCGTGTGCCGGCAGATTTGCGGCGAATGACGGCAGGCTTCATGGGCATGGCGGTGGCCATCATCCTGTTCGGCTGGATCATCGGCGTGCTCGGTTGCTGCTGGGATCGAGGACTCATGCAGTACGTGGCTGGCCTGCTGTTCCTGATGGGAGGTGAGTCGCACGAAAACGTCACGCCTTCGCCCGATAATGAGACAACTCCGAATGGTCAATTAAAGTCAGTGAGGTTTTTTTGTGGGGGGGATTTTTTTTGTTGGTTTTTTTTGCGGGGTGGGGGTGGTGCAAAGCTTTGGAATGACATGCAAAACAAAACCTATGATCCCCATATTAAAAAAATGAATGAGTTGATTTCTGAATATTGGTTTGCTGTTCAGCAGTTTTGTGCCGCCCTTGAATTTTTTTTTTTTTTTTTTTGGCATGAGAGCCCTGAGAATTTTTTTTTTTTTTTTTTTGCAGGGGGCGGGGGTGCCTGAGAAAAATATGTAGTTTTAAATCACTGCATGTGGTTGTTAAAGGCTGGATGATTGACAGACAGATTGAGAAATGTCTAATGTACATTGGTTGAATTACAATGTTTAATCGTTAAAACAAAAACAAAAAAAAAGAACAAAAATTGCCTGAAATGTTGCACTGCATTTCTCTTTTATGTATTCGGTTCATAGGAAATGAGAGAGCAATTTTGTTTTTAATTAGCTGCTTTTAGGATTTAAAAAAAAACAAACATAATAAATCAGTCCTTATCCACACTAAATCCGCCAAAATGAGCTGCCGCGCGCTTTCGTTGCCACAGAGAATAGAGAAGCAGCCAGACAAAAGAATGACGATTAGCTCCTGATGGCGATGACAAAAATCTGAAGGAAAACAAATGAGTATTAAAACCCCGTTTCCCTTCGGTTTAATTAAAAGAGACATCGTGTTAAAAAAAAAAAAAAAAAAAAAAGATACAACCAAGAGGCCTTGTTTTTTATAGATTATTCATGAAAAAACAATAAGCTTTGAAACTAGCAGAAATAAATAAATTTTTAAAACGAGGGCTCATCATGTATAAGATCCACCAGAGAGCAAATATACGACGGGTTTCACTGGCCATTTTAATTATAATTTAGGTCAATGAACGAGAGCACGCAGGGGGGAGGGAAGTGCTGCAGCCCCCGCGGAGGATTCGCACGCCGGCCGGCGGTTGTATATCGAACGGGCCAATTAGGAGGCACAAGACAAGGCTCGGCCAGACCGCGGAGGCAGAATCCCAAAGAGGCGGCCCCATAAGCTCACGTAGCGTTGCAAATGAGGCCAAATTTAGAACCAGCTGCCTCGACACCCCCCCGCCTTAAAAAAGCCCAAATAAAACGCTGTTGCGGTGTCGGCGTAATTAGGCTGAGCGTCCTCCGCGAAATGTGGCGGTTGAAGAAACATAACGAAATGCTTTTGGAAAATAAAAATAAGGCACACGTGCATGAACGCACACAAAAAATGGCAAAAAACAAAAGATTGGCAAGTGAATTTGGCACAAATGTGACTTGGGGAGTTGCTGGTGACAGGCTTGGCTGGTCACATCATGCCCCATGTGTTTTTTTTGTTTGTTTTTGGGGGCAGGCACCTTCTGCATCATCTCCCTGTGCACCTGCGTCGCCGGCATCAACTTTGAGCTGTCGCGCTACCCGCGCTACCTGTACGGCCTGCCCGACGACATCGGCCACGGCTACGGCTGGTCCATGTTCTGCGCCTGGGGAGGTCTGGGCCTGACCCTCATCGCCGGCTTCTTCTGCACATTGGCGCCCTCCGTGCAGCCCATACCGAGGTCCACCTGCCCCAAATCCCGACAAGAGAACGGCACCGTGTGCTAAAGCGGGCCCCGAAATTGCTCCTCCTACCCCTTCCCCTGACGCGGAAAAAAAAATAAAATAAAATCACCATTTGTCCATCCGTCGACCGATCATCGCCGCTCTCTCCTGGTTACCGATTGTTTTGGAAGTTTTTTTTTTTTTCTTTCTGTGTTTAAAAATGGGTGTTTGAAGATCTGCTATATTGCAACAAAAAATAGAGAGATAAAAACAAAAAAAACAAACAAAAAAAAACTGAAATATTATCAAAAAGCTGTACGTGTTTAATTGTTGTGGAGCTGGTCCCGCGTTTGAAAAGGACATCAAATAAGAAGCCAAAGAAGAGGCTGAATTCTTTCGCTGAGCTGCGGCGACGGAGGGCGTCCCTTCGAAAAATCGAACAAAGCCGTGACTTTGACGCTCCTTCCGGATTTGACCTCTTGGGGATCTTTTGAGGACAGAAACAACAAAACTGCCGGTACTCCAACTGCCGAAGGATTTACGGACCGGCGCCGTTGTATTATACTGTACAGAATATTCCAGAGACAACCAGGAAGTGTCATTCCATCCCCACGTCAGGCTGATATGACGATGCCATAGCCACCATTTTATACATCGATTTCCTTTTTTTTAATTTTATTTTATTTATTTTGTTTTTTGTTTTTTTTACAAAGCTAATCGCATTGTGAAACCAACCGAGCAAATGTGAGTTTTGTTCCCGTTCTAGTCATGAGAAGTACAAAGTCACTATGAAGTGTGTTTGTGTGTGTGTGTGTATGTGTGTGGTTGGGGGGTTGCGACAAGTCGTCACGGCAAAAAAAAAAAAAAAAAAAAAAAAAACACGTTAAAAAAAAGATTAAAAGGCAAAACGGAGCCCTGCAATTTTGTCACGAGTTTTGATGATGGGGAGATGCGGTATCTTGTTTCATCCGATTGATTCGAGCCACCATCTAAATGTTGAAACGGTTCGGCGTGGAGTAGAAACGATGCGAAAATCGGATTTTACAAACCCGGGGAAACAAATATCAAAGCACAACAGGTAATATTTTGCTGTATGGATGTTTAAAAAAAGCCACAAAAAAAAAAAACAACGGCCCTATTTAGAATCATTGGAACCATGTGCATGCGGCTAGCATTTTAGCATTAGCATTTTGGTTCAATCATTTTTCCAGACCACAAAAGGACATTGCCTACCTGACCTTTTTTTTTTTTTTTTTTTAAATGTGTTTAACTGACTGTTAAAAATAATTTCTCAAAACTGTCTGAAATGTATGATATCAATGAGAATTCCGCTTTTTCAGTGGACACCGCCGTCCGAAGAATCTTTGTCAGACGGTTGGGCCTTCCTCAAATCTCACTCACGGTGCGCTTGTGAGTACAATTCCACTTCAAAAGCGTCAGCGGGCCGATCTTAGATGGTCGACGGGAAACTTGTACCTTTTCTTGCTAGGCTAATGTCGTGTACATTATTTTGGAGCATGACGCACACGTTTGGCTATAGCCAAGTGGAATTTCTCCACGGCAACACAATTTCGAAATGAAAGTTTATCACCCCCCCCCAAAAAATAAATCGCCAGATTGATGAGACTTTACTTTCGGGTGTGGGGGGGGGGGGGGTAAATGCTCTTGGACGCAGGCCGGGAGGCAATTGAGCATGAAATTACTTTAACCCCGACACGGACATCACGGCCGCGCCGCTGCTGAATATTTTCATCGACGAATGAAAGGGATGCGAGGACGAAATTTGAGTGGATCGATCGATAGATCGACAGATATATCGAAAGATTAAAAAAATTAAATAAAATAAATAAACAAGCACAACGTTAAGGCCTTATCAATACGTTGTATTGACATTATGACTGATAGCGACGGCGCAGGGAAACGTGAGGGGAATAGATATCAACACAAAACTGTTAAAATGCACCCCCCCCCCCCAAAAAAAATTAATAAATAAAATAAAACTTGTTGCTAATCGACATGAGTCATATCTGAGAAGCACATCATCATGGCGGTTTGTTGCGCAATGGACGGCCAGGAAAAATCCAATTTGACGTATCTGAAAGCCTCGTGACTTTTTTTTTAATTTATTTTATTTATTTTTTTTTTTTTAAAGACAGTGATATTGCAACGAGCATTCTGGACTGAATCAAACATGATCTGTCGACCTTTAACATCAGTAACGTTGTCTGTCGAGTGAACATCAAATAAGATTGGGGAAAAGAAAAAAAAAAAAAAAACAAAGAAAAAGAGGAAATGTTCAACTGTGGAATGTAAAATCACAACAGAATAAATCTCATCGGTGTGTTTACTAATCCTGTTGTTTTGTCGTCAATGTGGGTGAGCCGGAAAGGAGTATTTCGGAGTGACATCGCATATTACAGGAAGCTGCCGCTCTTCCAAAAGCCGCCGTGTCACCCGTGTCACAATCAGCCCACCTAATGAGCTCTCACATCCTGATTTGAGACAAAGTCATTAAAAATCTTTGCATGCCCGGCACAGTATGAGAGCTTAATTCTCTCTCCCGGCACCATCTGCAGCCTCCGCTGGAAGATCCCGAAAAGTTAATTGGCCGACGCCGAAGGCACTCTGAGACCGTCCTTTTCGGATGCGCTCGCGGGAGGGAGTCACGGTACGGGAAGTAAAGGGGTCGAGAGTCTCCCTCGAGCTTATTCGGGACCGTTGAGCTTGAAAGCGGTTACGGCACGTCCGTCGTCGCGCTTCTTTTTACGGCTTGTTCTTTGGATTGGGGGAAGTGAAACAAGTCGAGCTATAACGCTACGCCCACAGGTCTCAGCGAATCTCCAAAGAATCCATCCAACGCTCCTTCCAACCGCCTACTACATATGAGGAAGACTTTTTTTTTAAACTATGGACTCAAGGGGAGGTGAGTGGGGGGCAGTGGGGTCGCGTAACATTATTTATTATAGAACAATCTACGAGAAGCATTTGGACCACGACAAGGTTTGATGTCGAAAACACTTCCGGGGCCATAAATCAAAGAAAGAAAGAGAACTGACCTTTACTTTTGGGGTTGCCTTGCAGAGGAGGTCACTGCGTGTCATCACGTCCCTCATAAAAACAAGGAAGCCTGCAAAAGACGAGTCTCGATTATTGTCTTTGTTTTATTTAGCGTATTTTCCGCACGATAAGGCGCGCCTAAAAAGCGTTCAATTTTCTTAAAAAAAAAAAGCAGTGCGCCTTATCATCCGATGCGCCTTATTGTATTGTATTGTATTGTATTCCCTTTAGCGTCGCTCCATCTAGTGGATGCATAGCGCAACCGCAGCCACTATTGGAGCTTCTATTCTATGTAGTGCGCCCTATATATAAAACACCGCCATTCAATGAAGGTGCGCCTCATAGCGTGGGAAATACGGCACTTGAGAACACACAAAAACACAAGAATGAAAAAAAAAAAAGACAAGTGACATGTAAACAAACACCTCACACAAAATGCACCCCAGAATAAATTAATCAATAAATACTGCGGCTGTTAACTGAGTGGTCAATTCTCGACTGCTTTTGTTTTCTCATTTCGGCATCTTAATGCGCAGGAACTATGTCGAAGTCCGGGAGGAGCTTCATTTAGTCTGGTCATAGCCCTTCTCGAATAGAAAACAGTGTTCTGCTGCCATTTTGTGGCATCTCCGGGCAATTGCAAAGCTTTCTAGGTGGGCGTCAATTATTCACATCTCTTGCCCTCTTTGCGGGGGCAAGGCGATTAAAAATCAAAAACGGTATGTGGAGATGGCGTCGATGACTGACACCGCCTAATTAATCTGCTGTCGATTGCACCTAAATACGAATGTGACTAAGCGCCGTGGCTGTAATCATATTTTGCGCCGGGTCTAATGAGGTTCCGCAGAAAGTCGGGCCTCACGAGAACCGCAGCTTTCCCTGTTACCATGGCTCTATGAATAATAAATAGCAATTGACAGCATGATTGCTGGTTGACTCACTAATCTCCACAGTTGGCTCCCGAAAACAGGGCTAAGAAAACTGGGTGGTGGGGGGGGGGGGCTGTTTTGAAATGTCATGATTGAAATCAGAGAATGAATTCAAAAGCGCGCTGGCCAATGACACCCGTTCGGTGGGTGAAAGCATTCGCTTCGAAATGAGTTGTTGTTGTCCTCGGGTCTGATGTCGTCAGCGACTAACCTGTGAATTGTCAATGAGATGATTGTGTTTTTTTTTTTTTATGTGCAGGCCGTTTTATAACTAGGGTGGAGCTGCGTTCAAAATTAACCAACCGCTTTTAGACTAAAAATGGGAACGGGCACAAACCTTCCACAACTTGCAAGTTCCCCTGACAAACCCCAACTATGGTTGGGATGTTCTAGTAGGCTTTTCCAGACATGACTTTTGCTTTCTGAACAGTCCAAAATAGCAGTCAGAGTGAGCACAAAGCCAGGAGAACCAACTAGAACAGGGGTCAACAACCCAAAATGTTGAAAGAGCCATATTGAACCAAATATATATATTTAAATATGTCTGGATCCGCAAAAAAAAAAATTAAGTCTTATAATGAAGGCAACACATGCTGTCTGTATCTATATTAGCTACATTAGCCTGCTATCAAAATAACTACGTTGGCTCCAAATATACAACGCCCCCTAAGATGAAGGTGGCATTTGACGCACTTTTGCAGCGTGTTAACTATCGTAGCTCACGTGTGCCGTTTAAAAATGCGTCTCTCGGCCCTCCAGGTTCCCATTTTTTGCCAGTAAACTCGGTGAATTCTACAGGAAACGCCGGTTTTTGTTTACAACAGGTACCTCTGCCTGTCATCCCGTCCTGCTCATAGAAACGTGTGTCGCAGACTATGACGCAATTCTTCGTTGACCGAAATGTTTAAATTTAATATTACACATTTTTACAGGATATGAAAACGTTAATAATGTTTTTCCTCCTACAGAAACCACATTGAAACAAAAAAAATATATAGTTTTCTCCGCTATCTTTTTCCATTTTCAAATATGTTTGAAAAAGCTCCAGGTAGCCACTAGGGCGGCGCTAAAGAGCCAGCTGCGGCTGTGGAGCCGCAGCTGGCGACCCCCGAACGAGCCCCCCCCGAACTACAGTAGAACATCTAAAGTTTATTTAGGGTTAAATAGCGCTTTAAATGGTACCACGTACAGTACCGACTCTTATTTCACATGAGTTGAACCATTTCCTGCACCCTGTAACCTGATAACATGATAAGCTGTCCCTGAAAGGGTTAAATGTGATTGGCTGATTCT